TCTCTTTAATATTCTATGTAAATGTTCCTTATGGGTTAAGACTTCAAAATTTTTTAAACGACTGTGCAGCGAAAGAGAGGTTTATGTATTTATCAGGTTATATATGTATGTTTGTCCGTTTGTGACAGTCCAGGGACCAAACTATGGTTCCATTCTAATGATTCATTTATCGCAACACCCGTACGCTTGCAGCTGCATTGCTGCCCCTTAATAAAGTGGGCCCCGGCTACCTCACTCAACAGACGAAACGCCGAGTGGTGAGGTCGTGATTCCCTGGATGGAACTGCCCATTTGTGCAACAAAAGACTGTTGCGTGGCGCTACCACGGTGAATAAACTCTTACGTCAATCGAATTGTCACAATCTTTGTCGCACTAAAACAGTAATCAAAATCATATATGACAATTGTCAGAGGCCGTAATGTTAAAAAGTTATAAAAGGATTTAGCTAAAATGTTCCGCTCAAACTGCATAATGTTTTCGAAAATTTCAACTATGACACGATTCTGCGTTCTTGTTTGTTAGTTCACTTGCATTGCCCGTATGTAGATTTATTATAACTCTTTAATTAGCTGTCATTATTTTGTCGGCATTTATGTCCGAATTTGCTTCTTATTCATTACACTTAACGAGTAACTTTCATTAATGATTTGAATAATAAAAATTTATCAGTCAACAAAATTACGCATGTTCAAAGACAGGCACTTTACTTTTTTTAACTTTAGAAATTTTTACTAATGTAACTGAAATGAGAGTGAGTAGTATAAGGCATATTTATAGTTTTTAAACAGTTTATTGTTCATTGAATGGGATTCATTGATGCTTACGCAAGGTGTGAACGTACAAATTTACAAATGGTTTACAACGACAGGCCCTTTAGTCTTTAGGGGTAAATAACTTGAAAATATAAAGTTCTGAGGACTCCGTGGCGCAGTTGCCAAGGTATTGGCTTCGGCGTCGGGGGTCGTGGGTTCGATTCCCATACGGGACAACCATTTGTGTGACCCACAGATAGTTGTTTCGCATCTGGGTGTTTGTCCGCGTGAACTTTATGTTTGTAAAACGTCCTCAGAACACAGCATAAGGTTATCCTAAAGTAAGAGCAATGTTTTTCAAAAAAAAAGTACCGTCTCTATAGTAAGGAGTATTTCAAACTGAACGGCATGAGAATTCAAAACTGTAATATGATTATCCATATTATAGTTTTGAATCAGAAATGTTACCATATCGGCGTATTCCCACAGGGACGATTAAGAGGCGCTCTCGCGGAAGAATCGTTGCCAAATCATGAATATTCAAATGGGAAATTAGAAGGTATTATACGAGTATCAGTCGTATAATTCGTATTACGTCGGTACAACTGGTATTTTAGTGTCGCATCGCTGCCAGGGAATACCGCAAGTCTCCATACCGCAATACTCCAACTCACGAAAAATAAAAAAGCAATAAATGCAATCGTACATACGATAGAAAGAAGACTCAGAGTCACTAATGACACGAATTAAATTACAGTGAATTAATAATAATAATAATAATAATAAATCTTTATTTCAGACCAGGGTCCATATTTGGTTAGTACAAAACAAAATGAAAAAATCAATAAAGGGAAAATAAATTAAAAATAAATCAAAATAAATTAAAATTAACTAAAATTAAAAAATAAATCAAAAGAAATTAAAATTAATATAATTAAGACTAAGATTAACTAACATTAAATACACACACGCTTGTTAGCATATGTGTGTGCACCATTCCAACTCCTCCAGAGTGGGCTGTCGAGTTTGCACGCCAAAGTGCTGAGAAGGGCATTGGAGCTGTTCACTAACCGGCTCATCATGGATGCAACACGTTTCCGGAAGATCGCGTAGAAGTCGTCTACGAGCCTCCGCAAACATTGCAGATGCACTGCAGTGACGCGGCTTCCCCAATACCGCTCTCAGCACATTGTTGTACTGCACACGAAGAGTTCTGAAGGTCCGCTGCGTGTAGTCCGCCCACAGACTGCACGTGTAAAAGGTTTGGCAGTAGGCTCTAAACAGCGTTAATTTTACCTCTGAATTACAACGCGCAAATCTGCGGGCCAACATATTGCCCCGGACCGACAGCGCCCTTCGCTCCCTCTCTATATCACCGTCGTCCACGAGGCGCTCGTTAACTATATGGCCGAGATACTTGAACTCCGCCACCTGTTTCAGGGGAATACCACACAATCGTATGATTGGCTGAAAATTGGTGGCTTTGTTTTTTCCCCTGAACACAAGGAACTCGCTCTTTTTGGCGTTGTATCTGAGTCCATTTCTCTCAGCATAGTCCTCACAGATTTTAAGTAGCTTCCGGAGGCCACTGACCGAAGGACTAAGCAGAACCATGTCATCCGCATAGCTGATGTTGTTTATAAAGACACCATCAACTGAGCATCCGACACCAGCTCTGCTCAGCCCCTCTATCAGCTGGTTGACAAAAATGTTGAACAGCCTCGGTGACGTAAGCCCACCCTGCCTCACTCCACAGTTCAGCTTGTAGGGGTCACTCATAGCGTCTCCCCATTTTACGACATTTGACTGGTTACCGTACCAGTACTGCAACAACGATAACAGCTCCGGCCTTAGGCTCGTTTCCGTCCTAAGTTTATGCCATAGTACTTTATACGATACAAGGTCAAATGCTTTTGACAGGTCCAAGAAGCACGCATACACTTGCGTTTTTCTGTCAGTGTAGTACCGTACAGTCTGCTTGAGACACATTATTGCGCTCTCGGTAGACAATTCGGACTGAAAGCCGAATTGAGCGTCGTTAATTTTAGTAGCTTTCTTTAAATGTATTTCAAGCAGACTGTCCAGAACTTTAGCTACGATTGTCGCTAGGGATATAGGCCTGTAGTTGGACCTATCCGCTACATCGCCCGTCCTGTTCTTCACTATAGGCACGACCACCGTCATCATCATTGCATCCGGCAGGTGACCATGACTGACACAGAGGTTATAGAGCATGGTAAGGACTCTGGAAAGGTGCACTCCAGCATATCGCAAGTGTTCGACACTCAGGCCATCATGCCCCGGGGATCTCCCCCGCTTCATACTCCTTATTGCGTCATTCACCTCACAAACAGAGAAGCTCAATGAGTCTACCCAAGGGTCTACGGTGTCCCGAGCACCGTCCACTGTTTGACCTACTATACTTAGGGGTTCCTCCCTGAAGTGAGTCCTAAACATATTGGCAATGTTCTGACTCCCTGTTATGCCTCCCACTTCCACAGGAAGGCCCGCCCGTGCATTCAGTCTATTTGTTTGTTGCCAGAACCTACTAAACTGCTTAGTCTCGTGTGTAGAGAGCTAAAATGTCCATTTTTATTTGATCTTCATGGTCCTGGCACCATTTTAGTTTATTTTTGAAAAGCCTACGAGACTCCCGCATATCGTCGTATGTAACTCCACTACTCGGCCTCCCAGCCATCACCCACGACTGAAAACACAGACGAGCTCTCCCGTGTAGTGGCCTTACATGCCTATTCCACCCCGTAACATAACCTTTTTTATTTTTCCTTACAATTTTATGACTAGCTATTGCCCCTGACTGCAATATGCTTACAATATGAGAGTACATATTATCGATAACTAGTTTATGTTCATCATTACAACAGGTTTTGCCACAACATTTCGTAAGCTCCATAGGAAAAAGTACTTTACTTAGCTTCTCATCACAAGTTTTCGTAAATAGCTTAGTCTGGTCACTATCCCTCTGCCCCCAAAATATCTTATTATTAGAAACTCGAGATGATGATACAAACTGAGTATGTAAGGGGTTTAGGTTACAAAAAATTTCCAAAGGATAGTGATCAGACCACGAGACACTGTTATTTACGGTTATATTCTCAATGTAACCCCTAGCCATCCTAGTTACCAAACAATGGTCAAGCCAACGTGTGCATCCGTGAACATCACTAATGTAAGTATACGTCTCCCCATTGTTTGGCAAAAGTTCAAAGTCCGCACAACACCATTTTTGTTCCACACAAAATTGCTGCATTTCATTAAAAAATAATTCACCTGGTTGAGCATTAAAGTCTCCTAATACAAATACCATACTAATACCACTGTCCTCAACAACCGCATTAATCTCGCTCAAACAGTCTGTGAATTCTGGCAAGTTGTCAGTACAGTCAGTAGGCATGTATACCGAGAATATCAACAGATCACCTTCACGCAATTTACACTTTATAGCACAGAGCCTCGCCTTATTGCACTTCACAACAGATACCGCCGTAAACGCACTCTTACGCCATAACAGCGCGACGCCCCCGTAGGGACGGCCGCGTAACATGCCTGCACTCATATCTACCGCTGACGTCCCTGTGGCTGCAAACTCGTCATTAACAGTACTTAGGTAGGCCAAATCATGCGGTAGCAACCAAGTTTCCTGCAGCGCAACCACGTCCGCCGCCACACAAATACTTCTCACACTATCTATTGATCGCTTTAGTGACTTACAGTTAAAGCTAGTTAGCTTTAATTTATAATTATTCTCACTAATTGACTTCTGATCCATCATTTTTATTATTTTTATTATTTTTTCCTCGTATCCCGTTCTGTAGGTGTCTTCCTACCCTTTCTAAATATTATATATCTTCTGAAGTATATACCTTCCGGCCACAATTCATTATTTGTAAACAATGACAATTTACTTTTAGGTATACAGAATTTAAATGATGTGTAATCTTTTTCCGATTTATTATTATTCTTCACTCTCTCCGGCAATATATGTATATGTGTTTTTCTCATATACATATTCGGCAATATCCCGCTCTGTGGCGTCTTTAGCGACGTTGTAAATAAACAACGGAATCTGCACCTCCGCCGCCCTGAATTTCCCCAGCGGGTTTATCACAGCTGTTCCTCTCGACCCCTTAAACCTTGACTTTTTACGCTTTTCAACTCGTATCCATTCACCATCAATTACATCTTGCTTGTTCACGGCGCTTTGTATATCTGCATTCACTACATTACATGACGTCATCACACCAGGCTGACTCAGACGAGACAAGCGCTCGAGTCGCCATCTCCGACCTTAATACGGGAGTGACAGAGACAGCTTTATGATCTTCCGCCGCCGTATCGCTCACGCATGACAAGGATAGGTGCGCGGGCGCCTCAAATGCATTTGCCTCGTGTGCATTCGAAACCGCAGTTACTTGACGAGGGGCCTCCACGTACTCTTGATGTGCCACTTGTTGCACATGTGTGAATAGGACAGACTTATCTGTCTCCACCGCGCAAGCGCTCGCGTCCGACAAAGACAGGTGATCACCCATCTGTTTTTTGCACTGTCCTTGTCGACGTATAATTATCGTTAAGGACGGTCATTAGGCCCATCGGCCCGCTTTCACAGTCGGGGCTATCTTGTAAGCAAGAACCGCCTCTCTTGCTATTGACATTAGGGTGACTTATGAGTTGCCCTCGTGTATTTTTATGATACTTTTCAAATTCAAATTTTAAATCATCTTTTTTAGAGTACGTGTCTTGAAATACTGCACATTTCTCACTTATGGCACTGATCTCCCTCTGCATAACTAGCATATCCTTTAGTAAACGCGTCGCGTCTATGTGGTCAAATGTGACCGGTGGCAATTTTTGGATGTCTCGTGCCACAAACGTTGGAAATATCTCAGGATCTGCCCCTTTCAACAACCCAATGATGTCTTCTATGGTTTTGTTTTTACCGGCATCGCCCCTTCGTTTGATTTCCTTTTGTTGTACTGACTCGAACAACAAGCTTTTAGCCTCAACGATGTCCTCCTCAGAAAACGATTGCCTGCATAACAACGCTAGGCTCACATTATTCATAACATCAAGTTTATTTTGCACAAAACATAACACTTCGTTAATAATAATGTTACAACTATTACATTTAATTCTCGTCATTGTCTATCGCTTGAGGTCAACGACATGCAACCGATCGCGCGCGCTGTCAGCTGACGACTGAGAATTAAACTCGTGAAGGTTTTCACTTAATTCATTCGTATTTTCACTGTATAAAAGCCACAGTTCCGTACCCAAAGGGTTAAACGGGACCCAATTACTAAGACTCCCCTGTCTGTCACTCCGTCTGTCACCACGCTGTATCTTATGAACCGCCATAGTTCAGTTAGGTTATATAAGTTAGATTTTCAAGATTTGATCAAATCAGATTTAATATCATTATAAACTTTTAAGTGCTCACCTTTTTTTGAAGTCTGTTCTTTTTTGATTAAAAAACTTTTTTCGATGATTAATTACACAGTATAATTCTATACTTGTGTGATACTAATCTTAGTTTTATTTTGACGCATTATTTAGAGTTATTCTTTAAATTTCATTTTTTATTCATTTAAAAAAAATAGACCATTCCAGCCAACGCGCTTGCAATACGTTGACATAAAATCGATTAAAAATTAACTCACACATTAAAGTAAATTTTCAAACAATTTTTGCGTGGAATGTATCAAGATTGTCTATATAAAATCGTTAATACAACCAACGGTTGTAGGGCCACGCAGCAGCCTCGGCTGTTGCACGAATGGGCAGGCCCGTCCGGGTAAGTACCACGACCTCACAGAAAACCAGCGTAAAGTGGAAGTATGAGAAATACTTTCGCGTTTCGTCTGGTGAGTGAGGTAGCCGGAGCCCAATTTTCAAAAGGTTGTCAACGCATCTGTAACCCTCGGGAGTGGCAGATGTCCATGGGTGGCGGTATTCACTTAACATCAGGTGAACCGTCTGCTCGTTTGACTTTTCGCATAAAAAAAAAAAACTTTGAACGAGGCAGTCTTAATACTTATTGTAATATCGTTGCCGCTTGTCGGTAAAGTTTCGAGTGTAATTACGCGCGTTATAATTGGAAAACATATGAGTGGGAATATTGTGTTTCACCCAGTTAACCGAAATTCTCTGAATTTAATAAATCGCACCTTTAGAATTACAATGACCTATTTAGAAAATATAAATTACTAGCTGCTGCCCGCGACTACGTCTACGTAGAATAGGCTGAAGGCGTAACATTCAGGCAGAAAGACAGATATACAAAAAATATGTATATAAATTATAGCCTATGTCTTATTCTGATGTATAAGCTATATTATTGTAAAGTTTCATTAAAATCCATTCAGCAGAATTTGCGTGAAAGAGTAACAAACATCCATCCATACATTAAAATTTTCGCCTTTATAATGATTGGAAAACGTAAAATAAATATTTGTGCACTTATGAACAAACGCGGGGAGTGAAAGAGACGGAAGTATACGTTTTGTAGCCTTTTACGCCAAAATCGGTCCTCCATCATTTTAGGTCGCTTCCTGACACAAAGTCAAAATCATGATTTTCTTATTTAGGTCCCTTTAATCCTAAAGGTGCGTGAATGTTGTGTTGTTGTCTGTTTGAGAGATATTTCCTGTCAATGAATGTCTTTGGTGGTATCAAAGATTGACCACCTGTCAATATTTCGCAACCTTCTATCACACATAGAACAATATCAAGGCAATTAATATACCTTTCAAAATAATTTTGATTGAAACGTAAGTACGTACGTTTCTTTAAGCTATCAGAATTATGTTATTATAAAGTATCGTAATGTTTTCATTTACTTTTCGTTACAAACTAGCGCCGGTCACCACTATTAAAAACTTGCCAGTAATTAATGGCTTATATGAAATCTAGTTACATCCTATCAACCATCAAATTTCTACTACATTAAAATTTGTAGAAAAAAGGTAAGAAAAGTCCACCGCTGCGGGAATCAAACCCACGTCTTCGGGATTCTCGCCCTGGCGCATTAGCCACTGAGCTAAAGGGCTGATTGTCACATCGACGATAATCTTAACGTCGAACGACGTTACGATCGGCTAACCGCATCGCCATCTATGTTCCGCTGAAAATTTTTGGAGTTTTTTAAACTTCGTGATCTTAGGCTGAGTGGAAACCTTTTTGGTGCATGGTATTATAATATTTTTTCTATCCTTTTTAAAAAAACGTAGCCCTTAACTTTAGGATAACATTATCCCGTGGTGTAAGGACGTTTTACAAACATAAATATCACGAGGACAAACAGATGCGAAACAACTATCTGTGGGTCACATAAATAGTTGTCCCGTGTGGGGATCGAACCCACGACCCCGACGCCGAAGCCAATACCATGGCAACTGCGCCACGGAGTCATCGTCATTTAGCATTGTTTTCTTTTGTAACCGGATTATTGTATAATCATTTTTTTCTTTCTTTCTTTCTTAATGTACTACGATACGTTAGATTCTATTTTCTTTGCTATCTTCTTATGAAGGCTTGAACATAATAATCATAGTAATATTTGAAGAGCTCAGGCAAGCTTCGAAAGCAACGCAACGCATTATTATCGGTGTTTGAATCGTGATGCGATATTGAGTTTTGGTAAAGGAAATTATAATTTATTATTCTTTGTATTGTACAAAGTAAAAAGGTTTTGATTATTTCTATGAAGAAAAATCAAAACATCTACAATGTTTATAATAAAAGCGTATAAAAACATTTTCTTAATCATGATATAGCTTTAAAATGAACAGTTACCTAATATTAGATAGTTACCAGTACAATACATTAATGTTTTAGCATGTAGATATCCTTTTAATATTTAAATGTCATTTTTCTTTTATGAACACTACGTATTTCATGGATATAAAAAAATAACGGAAATCAACCCAAATATAGCTCGATACTACTACGCCAACAGACTCGCTTGACATCTATCAGCGATTTTCATGAAATTTTGTATGTGTTCAGATTCGGGGGCCAAAAATCGATCTGGCTAGGTTTCATTTTTAGAAAATGTCTTTTTATCCCTGTTTTCAGAGAATGAAAAATATCATTCGAATATCACGGTAAATTTCTCTTTGGATTTTGTTTTTGAAATTGCATCTGTATTATGAACGTAAACACGTGAAATATTTAGAAGGTGAATAGTGATTGCGTTTTAACAGTGGAGTGTAGTGTTGAATTTTGAATATAAAAAAAAATAAAAAAGGTAAAATCTAAGTGCGAGTTGGATTCGCACACGAAGAGTTCCGTCCCGTAATTAATGGTGGTAAAAAAATGGTATGGTGGCATTAAAGAAACAGGAAACATTAATCATTAAAACTAACTACTAGTATAGGCAGCATAACAAATCATCTTTCAGCCAATACAATTGAACAAATGACGAAATAAGTAACACCAATACATAACCTATTTTTAAAGTTAAAAGTAAAAAAAATAATTTCAGTGAATTTAAGATGAACATAGATTAAAAATGAATCACATGACTTTTAAACGTTTTAAACTCTCGTGATTATTTCAAATATATGACTCAAAGGGTTGTAATTTTTTGGAACCAAATTATATTTCATATTAAAGTATAATTGTATATAGAGCGACATAACAAATATATTACAACATAATATGTTACCTCATTTTGCGTAGGGGATTCCACTAAGACGTTCCACGGCATAGGCACTAAGTTGCCGCAACTTTGAGCATTAACTTGTTATTGCTTGTTTATTGAAACATTTCCCCCTTTAGACAGTTGCCGGGGTGGGATTAATAGAACGGGAAATACAAATTTTGCGAACGACTCTAATTGATTCCGGTTCGAATTCTTCCTTAATAGTTCAATTACTGTATTATATACGAAGTTATAATTTTTCTTTGCCTTTATCGTATTGTAGGAAGCGCAATTTTTTATATATAACATTTTATGTATATTCAATTGTCTAAAATTATTGTTCATGTTGTTGGTGTAACAAAATTAAATAAATAAATAATAAACAATAAAATACTAGAACATTAATTATATGTTATATTATTTATAACTCCCTGTATTCATTTTGTATTTGACATCCTAATAAAATACGTTGGTTATTTGGTTATGCTACTCTAGTACAGGAGTTTGTCAGTAAGTATATTTTGTTAAAATTTTTATATTTTTTTAACAGCCATTTTCAAAAATTGAAATGAATAAAGTTTTTTTTTTATCTGAACGTTTTATTAAACGTTAAAAAGTACTTACAAAATTATTCTTGTCGGACTAGCGACGTATTTAAAGGCATCCGGCCAGTGCAGCGGTACGTTCTGCCGCGGTCACATACTGAGCGATACCTTTTTAGCAAGTACATTTTTACGATTTCAGTGCTATTCTTGTTCAGTATTTTCTTTCCTGTTACGATATAAAATATTAAAATAAAAGTTGAGCGGAAACGGAAGCAAAAATTTAAACGGAAAGGGAAATTTATACTTCAATTAAAAATCAAATTCAAAATCAAGCAGTAAGTTA